GTTAAGTTTGAAGGGTGGGACAGAGCGCGGGAGTCGGAGGAGCCTGGGCTGGCTTGTGCCAGTGCGAGGTGCGAGGGGCCTCTCGGGCCTGGAGACAGTCCTGGGTTCGCAAAGCCTGGAAGAGCCACCCTCTTGGCTCTCCTAGTGGGATTGGGGAAGTGAACAGAACTCTGTGATTTCACATTTTTAAATCAGAGTGTTGTGTTTCTGTAATTCCAAAGGAAGGGTTCTGGAGGGCGGTAGAAACAAAATCTGGAGACCTGTCTGATACGGCCAGTGACAGACCTTAGGCAAGTCTTTGGGTCTCCCAGGGGGCCCAAGTCTGTTTATCTGCAGAATAAAGCTCAAAGGGTGACCTTTAGAGATGCCCACCCGATTTGAAGCTAAGTGGGCAAACTCTGCCCTAAGGGCAACTGGAAGGTGGAGGTCTTGGCATGCCCCTTCCAAGCCTAGGGTTCCTCAAGAATTTAAAAATTCCTTAAACAAATTTTATCTGCTTTTGCCTTTTAAGTATGCCTTTGTTGTTGTTGTTGTAGAGACAGTCTTACTTTATCGCCTTTGGTAGAGTGCAGTGGTGTCACACAGCTCACAGTAACCACCAACTCCTGGGCTTAGGCGATTCTCTTGCCTCCAGAGTCCCTCCTGACGGGGGTCTTGCTCTTGCTCAGGCCGGTCTTGAACTCATAAACTCAGGCAATCTACCCGCCTTGGCCTCTCAGAGTGCCAGGATTACAGGCACGTGTTCTAATTTTTATATTATTTATTTATTTTCTTCATTTTTTGAGACAGAGTCTCATTTTGTCACCCTTGGTAGAGTGCTCACAGCAACCTCCAACTCTTGGGCTCAAGTGATTCTCTTGTCTCAGCCTCCAAAGTAGCTAGGACTACAGGCACCCACCACACTGTCCAGCTAAACCATTGAATTTTTAGCAGCTGAAATCCACCTGGTATCTAGCCTTTACCCAGCCTGGGTCTTTGAAACTCTTGAGATTTTTCTGTTTGAAGACTAAAAACTCATGCTTCCAGGGCTTTTGGTAGAGGAAGGGAAGAAGTTTGTTCTTCTGGTTATGTTTTGTACCGCAAATACGGAAAAGAAATGTTGCCTGTAACCACACACACATAACTTGGTTTCTTCAGTCAACATCCTTTTCTTTTAAGGGTGTCTAACATTGCAGTGCTTTCAAATGACAGACGCAGCATTCATCTCAAACAGGTTTTGGTGTGTTTCTGACTGGTGACCTTTCGGATTGGTAAGGTGCCTTGCAAATTCCTTGTTAAAGCATTCTAATGTGGTTAAAGGCAGGGCTTTAGGTCAGACAAACCGAGGTTCGAGCCTGGATTTTACCTCTTTTTTTTTTGAGACAGAGTGTCAAGCTGTCACCCTGGGTAGAGTGCCGTGGCGTCATACCTCATAGCAACCTCAAACTCTTGGGCTTAAGTGATTCTCTTGACTCGGCCTCCCAAGTAGCCGGGACTACAGGCACCCGCCACAATGCCTGGCTTTTTTTTTTGGTTGTAGTTGTTATTGTTGTTTGGCTGGTGGGGGTTGGATTGAAACCTGCCAGCTCTGGTGTATGTGGCTGGTGCCCTAGCCGCTTGAGCTACAGGCGCCTGGATTTGAGCCTGGATTTTACCTCTTAATAGATTTGTGTTGGCTGAGTTACTTAGACACACGAAGCCTCAGTTTCTGTGCCTATAAAATAGGGATGATAATAGCTGCCTTATAAAAGGATTAATTATGATAGTGCATGCAAAAGAGAGGAAGGTAGTATCTGAAAGGTACTAAATGTTTAGAAAACGGTAATTATAGTGATTATGGAGCGAGATAATCTGAAGAGTTTGGATTCTTTCCCCATAGCAACTCATTAGATACAACTTTCAGACTCAATAATTCTCCATTAGTTTTGAGAAAATGGGCTTATGCCTGGTGACAGACTAAGTTAACATGGTTAAAGAGGGGCAGCAGAAGAAAAAAGTGATGTTTTTGTCTTAAAAAGTACTAATTTGGCTCGGCGCCTATAGCTCACCCGGCTAAGGCGCCAGCCACATACACCTAAGGTGGTGGGTTCAAATCCCCAGCCCGGACCCACCAAACAACAATGACGGCTGCAACCAAAAAATAGCCGGGCGTTGTGGCGTGCGCCTGTGGTCCCAGCTACTTGGGAGGTGGAGGCAGGAGACTCGCTTGAGCCCAGGAGTTGGAGGTTGCTGTGAGCTGTAATGCCACGGCACTCTGCCCAGGGGGACAGCTTGAGGCTCTGTCTCAAAAAAAAAAAAAAAAAAGTACTAATTTCCAGATGCCAAACGATCACCGCATGAAACAGAGCCTTCTACTGCACTCACCACCAGGTGAGGTAGGAACGGCAAGCATAAAAAAAAAAAAAAAAAAAATAGGGAGGTACAAACTCAGTTTTTAAGCTTTTGGTAGTTCTGCCCTTTGAGTGCCTACTTCTTTGCTAGGTATCTTGATCTCCTTGAGTTTTGTTTATTGATCTCATTATCCCCCAGTAGTGTTCAGGGTACATGTTCAATAAATGATGTTTGTTGACTACATAGAAATGACAGCGGCACCATCAAGAGAATATGTGGTTTGTACTGCTTTTCTGAGAATGGAAATAGATTTACTTTGATCCGTTCATGTGACCAGGGACCTGCTTTATAAGGGTTAGGAACGTAATACGTGACCACTGGCTCTTTCAGAAGTGAACAAGAGGCCTTGTCCTCCTAGGTCAGCCCCGCATTTATTTGAACCAACCCAATTAGGACCCAAATGAGTCCCAGGACTGACCAGGGAAGCTTAAGAGTGCATGAGGGAAGAAAAAGCAGAAGAAAGTCCTTTAACCCATTTGCCCCCAGAAACCCAGATTGTACTTTTAGAGAAGCAGAACAGCCTATTTCATCCAGTTTGACTTTGCTGTGTCTGCTGTCCTTTGTTCTCATTCCCTTTCTTCCCTAAATTGCCACCCACCCCCCTCCTCCACCCCTCCATAAAGCCAGCAGTAGAATGCTTGACCCCATGAACTTTTCTACCTCTAGATACACTCAGTATCAAAGCCGAGAGGGGCTTCTATTGAATGTGCTTTAAGTCAATTTTTTTTCTATTTGAGTTGTTATGTCCAAGGGGTGGGTGGAGTAGGAGAGCAATATTACAGATAAAAAGTTTGTTCCAGGGTGGCGCCTGTGGCTCAAAAGGGTAGGGCGCCCGCCCCATATGCCAGAGGCGGTGGGTTCAAACCCAGCCCTGGACAAAAAAAAAAAAAAAAAATTGTTCGAAATCTGCAGAAATAGCCCAGGACCAAAAGCATTTTTTTTTTTTTTTTTTTGGTGGTGATCTGCAGCCAGAAATAAAGACCTTGTTTTAGGTGGGCTCTAACTGTGAGTTCTCCTCACAACTTCTCTCTCTCTCTTTTCAAAGGTCCTTTCTCACTCTAGGTATGAAGTCCTTAACCTAGAGATCTGAGAGTGCTGATGTGATTATCTCACACTCTGTAGACATGAAATTAGGGTGGGGCTCAAATGGACTCAAGCCTTCAGCCTTTTTATATGTTTAGGAAATGGAGTTTTCCCTATATAGGAATGATTTCTTTCTTTCTTTTTTTTTTTTAGACGGAGCCTCAAGCTATCCCCCTGGGTAGAGTGCTATGGCATCACAGCTCACAGCAACCTCCAACTCCTGGGCT